CTGTCTGCTACGCTATTAAATTTAAAACCCCTTCCTCCCTACATTTACGTATGAAGTAATAAATCTATAACCCAAAATATAAAATCAATACCTTTTCTAGTATTAAACTTTAAATTTTTAAAAAAAGTAATAATTTTTAAACCCAAATGTTCCTTCACCTTTTAGAAATCCTAAAATTCAATATGGAGTTAAATCAACTTATTCACTATATATAATATAATATAATATTTTACTTCCAAATTTCTATAGAATTTTGATCTAAACCTTTATTCATTCAATCTTTTTTTTTTTACTTCCAAGGATACAATCCACTCTGAGTCTATTATTTAATTTTTATTTAAAGAACCTAGCGGTTATACGGTAATTCAAATTAGTTATAATCTAAACCTTTAAAGTTAATAAAGGTCCGCTAATTTGTATATAAATAAAAATAAGTAATTTCATATATTATTACCCTTTTTCCTTCAAATCTTATTTGATATATCCCTAATTTATTTTTTATATAAAGTTGCTTTATCATAAAAATGAAGACTGAGTATCTTCGATGTATCTCAAACTTATTATAAATCCAATTGCTATGCAATTCGTTTTATCTTTTTTAATTATAAAATTACGATCAGTTCCGTAGAGGTAATAAGCATAGGTAAAACAATTCTAAAAATTATGAAGATACATTAGATAAAGAAATTATTTTATGTGTTTTTTAATTACAAGAATATATTATATTGGAAGGTGAATTCCAGTTTGTAAAACTTGGTATTTATAGATATATATAAAATATTATAAAATTTAATCCGTCAATGGACGATTATAAATTTGGACTATATCTTCCATATACATTTTGTATATGATTCTACATATAGTCTCTGAGGATTCTACTTAGTTAATATATAATATTTTCTTTTGGTTTCCTGCTGATTTAAATAATTGTATCATTTAGTCCCAGCATATAGTAGAATTTAAAGAACACATCATGAATAATTAGATATGTTCTATACTAATAAAAGCTAAATCAATATTAGGTGTATAATGCATTGCTAATGTAACACCTGAAATAAGTTGTATAACAAAACATAAACCTAATAAAGAACCAAAATTCCAAAGATAAGAAATATTACTAGGTGCAGGAGAATCAATAATATAACTATTAACTAATGATAAAACGGGATTAGATTTTAAAATTTTCATAATAAAAAAAATATTTATGTGTAAATTTACAATATAATAAAATATATTTTTTTATTTAGAATATTAAATAATATTATTTTTTATTCTTATTTATATATATTTTTTCTTACTATGCTTAAGCTTTATACTCATTAATGGAATTGAACCATTATATACGATTTAGAAGATCGTTGCTTTATCCAATTAAGCTAAACAAGTAAATATTATAATAATATATAAGGGTATTAAATATTAAAGAATAGAAATAGAATTATTTATAAATACTTTTATACCAATAGAACCATTTTTTATATATTTACCACCTATACCACGAGTTAAAATATAAACATTTCAATAATCAATTAATGAAGGAAAAGAATTAAAATGAAAAGAACCTTTAGTAAAAATTTGTTTTTTACTTCTATTAGCACTTTTTCTTTTCATTATTCTACCACTTAAAATACATTTTATACCAGAAATATAACTTTTAAAAGTTTTATGTATAATATGAG